GAAGCATGGAGCGGAAGGAAACCCACAGTCTCTCACCTCCGAGTCCTCGGAAGTGTGGGATATGTGCACGTACCGGATCAAGAAATGAAGAAGTTGGATGACAAAAGCAAGAAGTATGTATTCCTGGGATACTCAGAACACTCAAAAGGTTACAAGATGTTTGATCCCGTGGAAGAGAAGTTGATCATCAGCAGAGATATGGTAGTTGATGAAAAAGAAACATGGTATTGGACTGCTGAAGCAAAGAAAAATTACATTTTTATCCATTCACTATGGATGAAAGTGATGATGAACCAGACACAACTACACCTGTGACGAGTCCACCCAGTCACAGAGAACCGGCTAGCCCAGAAGGAAGTTCAAGTGAAAGTCCAAGAGAAAGGCCACAGAAGTATAGAAGACTTGAAGATCTATATGAGGAAACGACAACCATTGAAGGTGATGAATTGACATTCTACTGTCATTTCATTGATGATGAACCAGTGGATGTTGAAGAAGCCATGAATGATGAAAAATGGAGAAAAGCCATGGATGAAGAAATTGGAGCAATTGAGAAAACAAGACTTGGGAGCTTGTGTCACTTCCTGAGAACCAGAAGCCCATTGGTGTAAAGCGGGTATTTAAAGCAAAGAAGAATGCAAAAGGAGAAGTTGTCGGGCACAAAGCAAGATTGGTGGCTAAAGCATATAGTCAGAGACCAGACATTGATTATAAAGAAGTTTTTGCTCCCGTGGCGAGAATGGAGAGTATCAAGATTGTGATATCTCTCGCTGCTCAAAATGGATGGAAGATACATCAGATGGATGTGAAGTTAGCTTTTTTGAATGGATATCTCGTGGAAGATATCTGTATTGAGCAACCCTCTGGGCATATCATTGAAGGTCAAGAAGATAAGGTGTTGAAGCTGAAAAAGACATTGTATGGTCTGAAACAAGCACCAAGAGCTTGGAATAGTAGGATTGACAAGTATTTTTAGCAGAACGGGTTCAGTGAATGTCCACATGAGCATCCACTATGCTTCAAGGTGCAAGGGGGGCAATATTGATGGTTTGTCTGTACGTAGATGATCTCATCTTCACAGGCAATGATCCTCAAATGTTTGAAGAGTTCAAGAAGACGATGATTAGTGAGTTCGAGATGACAAACATCGGACTGATGTCATATTATCTCGGAATTGAAGTGAGTCAAAAAGAGGAAGGAATTTTTATCTCACAAAGTGGTTTCGCCAAAGAGGTCCTGAAGAAGTTTAAAATGGAGAACTGTAATCCTGTGAGCACGCCAGGTGAGTGTGGACTGAAGTTATCCAAGGATGACAAAGGAGATAAGGTAAACTAAATGGAGTTTAGAAGTCTCGTGGGAAGCCTGAGATATCTGACTTGTACCAGACCAGATATTCACTACGCAGTTTGCTTAGTCAGCAGATGCATGGAGGCACCGACAAAGTCAAACGGGAATGCTGCCAAGAGGATATTGCGCTACATCAAAGGTACAATCGATGATGGTCTACTTTGTACTAAGTCAAAAAATTTCAAATTGGTTGGATACTGAGATAGTGATTGGGCAGGAGACGTGGATGATCGCAAGAGCACTATAGGATTTGTATTTTTTCTGGGAGATATATCTTTCACATGGAGTTCAGAGAAGCAAACTATCGTGACATTATCTACTTGTGAAGCTGAGTATGTTGCTGCGACATCGTGTGCGTGTCATGCGATATGGTTGAGAAAGTTAAAGAAAGAGTTGAAAATGGCACAAGAAGAGTTAACTGAGATTTATGTTGATAATAAGTCTTCCCTGGAATTAGCAAAGAATCTAGTGTTTCATGATCGCAGCGAGCACATTGATACAAGATATCATTTCTTAAGGGAATGTGTGGAGCAGAAAGAAGAAAGGTTGAAGTATGTGAAGACTGAAGACCAGATTACTGATATTTTCACGAGGGCGCTGAAACAGGAAGTGTTCGTCAATATGAGGACGCTACTTGGAGTTACGGCTAATTAAACTTTAAAGGAGGGGGGGTGTTGAAATAAAATGAAGTTTAATTATTAATAAAAGAATCTGGAAGCAATCAACATGGTAGTGTGCAGATGAATCCAGAAATGGTTAGGGGTTGTTTGGAAGTTGCGAATGTTAAATTATTGCATTGTAATGAATCACCATAATATAAATGATTGTATTGATACAATGCATGCATTTTAACAATACATTGTTTGGTTGTTGAGATTCTACTTTATGCATTGATTTACATAAAGTTTCTTTTATGGGAAAATATTACCCTCAACTTTTAGAATAAGACAAAAACTATTAGGGATATAAATGGAAAGAAAAAGTTGACACAAATCTAAAACCAACAATCTCAACTTTTAGTTGAGATTGTATAATGCATCAATTTTTGTGATTGTTGGTGGGAATTACCTAAAACAATGCATGCATTGTTTTACACTTTGACACTTCCAAACATTGTATTGTGCACAATACATGTATTCAACAATTACAACTCTAACAATCACAACTTCCAAACTACCCCTAAGTTTGTTGGCAGTTGTGAATAGAAAAATGAAAAAAATTTGTAAGCCACAATTGTATGGCGGTGGCTGTGATATTTGTCTTGGAGATGGCCTATAAATAGGTTTGTGTGTAGTTGTGTAAGAGCCAAGAGAAGCAAGAAACCAATAAAAGAAGACACATTTCCTCTTCATTCATTCTGCCGCCTACCATACCATTCCAACCTCAAAATAAAAACCCCAATCATTCAAAACTTCCCATTCCTATCCCAAACATAAACGTGCCCACCAAGATTGACAAAGGAAATAATTAATTTATTTCCAACAATCTTGTCTTCGAACCGAATTGGGTGCAAGAAGTCAACATTTCTTCTAGCCAGTCATACGCGGATGCTGTCAAATACGGAGGTTTCTATGGAGGAGGGAAGTGTCGCATTAAGCAAGATGATGGAGGCAACTATATCAAGTTGATAATGAATGAGTGAATGAGTAGTGCAAGTTTCTCGGCAGAAGCATATCCCTCACGTTCATATCAGAAGGGAACGCCCACTTCACTAAGGACTTAGTGCCAAGCTTCAGAGTTTGGGCAAAAAAGAACCGGGCTATCGATGATAGTTTTGTTATTGAAGACCGATCTGATGGTACAAGGCTCCTCATTTGTCCCAGTGTCTCTATATTGATTCGCATCACTAAGATAGATCACGTCCAATATAAAGACTTCCACATCAAGTTAACAATCTGGAAAGATGAAGAAGCTCGACAGTCGAATGACGTCAGATGGATTCTGGTTTACAATATTCCTCTCCATCTAGAAAGCATTGATTTGATTAAAACAATCAAGAATTTCTGTGGAACGTTCATTGAAGTGGATTGGAACTCATGTTGACTATCCTTTGTTCGGATGAGAATTATGCAGAGCTCGGCCCTTTCTATTACTATTCCTCTTCGACATGGGACATCTACCTTTTCGTCAATATTGTGGCATCGCCGCTGGAGATGAATCGGCCATCGGCGAGCCCAACGACTCTTTAGCTGACTAGGGATCTCAAGAGAGGCCGCTCGATTTCTATGCACTCATCATACAACAACAGTGCTCGAGTTGCGCGAACGCACGCTCCCAATGTGTATGGAATCGAAGCGTCAACAATAGCAACGATCTTTATGAAAATAGGAGGTGCTCCCTAGCGACAAATAAGGTTTGGATCCGCAAGGCCGGATCCATCTGGCTTGACCCTAAGAGTTGACTCACAGCTAGTTCCTCCTGTCGATCCCTTATGCCATTGCTTAACTCCCAGTGCACTAGCCAGCCCAATACCCTTTCCACTGCTAAACATTTCACCATCACCAAAACCAATTCTCCCTTTTGCTTCCCTCTGTCCATGAATCGCTTTCTTAGCCTACTTATCCCCAATATTCCTCCCACTTCCTTCGCCTCACTCAGAATTCTAGTCACTCAGCTTCCTTTCGGGCTTCAGCCCAACCAATTTGAAAACTATTACCATTTTCGACCTTAACCTTCCTAAACCCATTTGCTTTTCTCCTCAATCATTTACTCCTCTCCTACCTGTCTCCCCAGATGAACAGCCTACCCCATCTTCATCCTCTCCTAATAGATCCTACTCTCTTCTATCTGAATGAAATTTCCTCATCCCATAAACACTAGCAAATCTATCTTATCAAACTTCATCGTTGGCCGCCACCCTCTTTCCTTCATCGGAATTTGGTGGGGAAAATTCCTCCTATTCGCACTCAACTGTGTATCTCTTCTTACCAATCATTTGGAAGCTCTTGAGTTCCCATCACCGTCCTGCTTCATGACCGAGCTAGACATGACTTGGGATTTGAATGGTTTCCCTTTTAATATTGATACCTTTGCCAATACAAGCATTGCATTTGGACGAATGCTCAAATTGGAAGTTGAGAATGGTTGCCCTAGTGTCGAATCTCTCATTTCTCAAGCTGCTTGGGCCCCTGCCACCAGATATGAGAGGGAAGCCCGAAACTTGGGGCCAATTGCATCTCCTCCAGCGAGATCGTGAAGTTGCAGAAAACAGGTAGAAGGTTCCGTTTCAAGCTCTTGATTATGGGTACTTCTATAAGCATCTAGAATGTCAGAGGTTTAGGGGATCTGGCCAAGAGGGATTGCATTATAAGATTTATTGGTCGACAACACGCTTCAATTTTTGGTCTGGTTGAAAGTAAATGGGCTGAATGTAATGATGATCTTGCTAAGAGTATTGGAGGAAGAAGGGATTGTTAGGAATATATATTAATAGAATAATAATAATTATTAGTGTTAGGATTAGTAGAGTTAGGCGGCTAGGTATAGCCGAAAGGGTTAAGGTCAATTGTTAGGGTTTTGGGTTATTTCGTATAAATATGTACTTTGGGTTTACGTCATAATCAGTGAAGAAGAATATTAAGAAGAGTCTCCTAAACCCTAGTTTATCCTCTCAACTCCTAATTTCTCGTCTCAATCAATCCAAGGCCTCGGCCGATTCTTTATCTATTCTATTCTTCTCATCTAAATCCTTAATTCCCTACTCTCAACCCTAAATCCCTAATCGTCATGAGTAGTTGCGGGTGCCGAAGATCAGTCCCTAGAATCCCTAGAAGCGGGGTTCTTCTAGTGGTATCAGAGCCGTGGTTGCAGGCACCCCGTCAGAATCATGTCGAGTTGTCGAGAACACGAATTGGAGGAAGCTGATCAAAGACAATTCGCAAAAATTGTTGCCGTAGTTGGCATAGTTCGACGGGAACGGAGATGAAGATGAGTGGTGGGACGAGGAGGTCCCGGTGGCGGCAATCAAAGCGCAGCAGCTGACCAAAGTTGAGCCTGAGTTGGCGGACGGCGACCGAGAAGAGGAGCAAGCGTTGGAATGTGATGTGTCCGATGGAGGAAGTCGAGTCGATGCGAGTGAAAATGGCGGCAGGAAGGAGCAGAGCAAGGCCTCCACTGTCGCTAGACCACCACTGCCTTCTACCGACAAGGAGCGGCACGAAGCCTCTAAGGCAACTGTGGTTGCGGTGGGCCAAGAGGGAAGAGGAGGGAATCCGGTCGCTTCTGCTACTATCCCTAGCAAGGGGAGGACAGTCGCCTCTGGAGAAATCCAAACTGAGGGCTCGGAGAAGATCTTGAAGCCAAGTCGCGTTGTAGAATAGAGGTTTAAAGAAAATCCCCGGATGAAGCCCAGATCTGGCAGAGCAAAAATGGCGGGGCTCTGCGTCGAAGCAGATCTACGGTGAGAAGCTAGGGCGGTGATGCGACGTTCGTCTGACTCGAGGGAGCTCAGAATCGCGACTGCTCCTTTGGTATCGACGTTCAGCGAGGAGAAGACATCACCGTCGGAGATGGAATAAAAAAAGAAGAAGAAGCAGCGACGGACGGCGAACGGCCGGCGAGGCACGGAGGAGGTGGTGGCCACCAGTCGGGGTTCGTCGCAATCGACACCGATTCTATCCATGGCGTCCACAGACGGGGAAGCCGAGCCGCTGAGGAGGCCAGAAACGCGGCTGAACTGCTAACGAGTGGAACACTCACCGCCACAAAAGGAGTCGTCGTCGAAGGTTGAGATGGAGTTGAAGGCCGCAGTGAATTCAGACTGGCCACCTGGCCGTCGAGGGACCGTTTGCACCAGAGACAAAATCGAAGGAGAAGAAGGGCGCCAATTTTTCTCTTTCTAGACGGACTACAACCGACAAAGAGGCGGGGCTGATGATCGCCGGCTCAAGATTGCCACTGCACCATCAAGTTGATGGCTCGCCGACGGAGAAGGAGGTGAAGAAGAAAGAACCACCGCCGGCGAACGAGAAGGAGGGCGGCGGCGCGTCTCGTCCATGGGAACCCTTGCTTCCCCTAGGTCGACTAGAACCGCAGGCTCTTGCGTTGGGCAGTCTTACTGATCGGGCCTCAAGTCAGAACAAGCCAATCAGCCTTGGACATACGTTGGCAGGAGAGGGGAGACTAGCTTGGCTCATCTTGGGCCGAACCACGTGGGTCGTGGGCTTTGTTGAGTAAAAAGAAGCGGGCTGGGAGGAGGAAAATAAATCTGTTGGGCTTAATGGAGAAGGTGGGCTGAGTCAAGCAGGTATGGGGCCTCCATTGGGCTCTTTTAGTGTATTGAAATTGCCGGAAGGTTACTTGAAGAAAGAAGTAAGTAGGCTTGTAGGATTCGGATGTGGGCTCCCAAATGAGTCGGGCCCAACTGATTTGGGCCACACCTCTTTCTATCAAATCAAGATGGGCTCATCCAAGAGTGAAGGACAAGAATCAAGGTTTGTCTTCACCACTAAGTCCATGGAAGAACAATCCTTCAATTCTTATTTCGTCGATTTCGAAAAGGAACAGGGTGGATTGTTCGGCTATGAAGAACGTGACACATGTCACGTGGATGGATGAGAGTCAAGGAAAGTTGGATTTGCGCGAGAAGAGTTTATTCATGGAATTGAGCGCAACTGGAAATGTAGAAAGCGAAAGGTCAAGAAGACGGAAGTTAACTGCAACCTTGAGGACAAGGTCGCTTTCAAGGAGGGTGCAATGTTAGGAATATATATATATTAATAGAATAATAATAATTAGTAGTGTTAGGATTAGTAGAGTTATGAGGCTAGGTACAGCCGAATGGGTTTGGGTTAATTGTTAGGGTTTTGGGTTATTCCCTATAAATATGTACTTTGGGTTTACGTCATAATAAGTGAAGAAGAAAATTAAGAAGAGTCTCCTAAACCCTAGTTTATCCTCTCAGCTCCTAATTTTCTTGTCTCAACCAATCCAAGGCCTCGACCGATTCTTTATCTATTCTATTCCTCTCATCCAAATCCCTAATTCCCTAATCTCAACCCTAAATCCCTAATCGTCACGAGTAATTGTGGGTGCTAAAGATCAGTCCCTAGAATCCCTAGAAGCAGGGTTCTTTCAGGGATATTTAATGGGTTGCTAAGGATGCCATCCGTAGCTCTGGGGGTATTGTTGTGATCTGGGATAAATCACTTCCCCGGAAAATATCGAGCAGTGAAGACAATTATTTCATCAGTGTTAAATTTCTTGATCTGGTAAGTTCTAACATTTGGCATCTTGTTACGCTTTATGGTCCTCAAAAGCGCAATGAGAAACTGATATTTTTCAGGAGCTTAACGACTTCTTTCAGCAACATCAAGGATCAATCTGCATAGCCGGAGGACTTCAATTTGGTCAGAAGCCATGATGATTACACGGGAGTGCGAAGCACGGATCTCATGACTTCCTTCAACGACTTTGTCGACTCTAATGAACTTATTGAACTCCCTCTTACTGGCAGTCATTACACCTGGAGTCACAGAGTCGACAGCAATTCCCAATCCCGAATCGATCGAGCTTTTATCACCGACGGATTTGACTCCTTGTTTCCAGATTGCGTCCTATCTGCATTGGAGAGAATTGACTCCGATCACAATCCCCTTAATCTCAAATGGGGCGGTAATGGGAATATCAAAAGGCCTTGAAAATTTGAAAATATTTGGCTTGAAGACGAGCGTTTTCATAATAGTCGTCCCATCTGGCTCATTTCTCCATTGCAAGGGTCTAGACATATCTTTCGCTGGTCGAAGAGAATGCAATCACTTAAGCAAGACATTAAGTATTGGAACAAACATGTCTTTGGAAGTATTCATGCTAGGGTTGATGAGCTGTTGCAGTCGATCAAGGAGCTTGACATCATTGGCGAAAACAGAACTCTTACTAAAGAAGAAAAGAATAGTAGAATCATGATGGAACTTGATCTTGTCAAAGCAATTGATATGCAAGAGATAAGCTGGAGGCAGAAGTCTAGGGAACTATGGCTTAAGCTTGGCGACAAAAACTCCGGCTATTTCCTCAAGGTAGCCAACGATCAGAGGAAGATAAATTTCGTCAGCAGAATCAGTATTAATGGCCACTTAAACAAAGAAGCATCGACTTATCTCATAGAAGCATTGACTCTAACTGGAGCAAGGCTCAGGGGCTAGATGGATTTTCTTTCGAATTCTATAAAAGGTGTTGGGATTGGCTAAAAAGGGACATCTTTCTTGCGTTCAGGGAGTTTCACGGCTCTGGTCTCCTTCCAAAATCCCTTTCGCAATACTTCATATGTCTAGTGCCCAAGAAAGACTTAGTGGAAAACATAAAAGACCTCAGACCAATTTCTCTCTTGAGCAGCTTTAATAAACTTGTTAGTAAAGTACTATCTAGAAGACTTGCTCCTCTTCTTCCGCGGCTTGTCTCCGATCAGCAGAGGCTTCGATCATTGGCAGGCAGATCTCCAATACAGGGCTCATTGCTAACGAGCTCGTCGATAGCAGAAAGAAAAGTAGAAGACCGGGTCTTATTTTTAAGTTGGACATCAAAAAGGTGTTTGACAACGTCAACTGGAATTGCTTATTTAAGGTTATGTCGAAGATGGGATTCTCGTCTCAATGGTTGAATCGGATCAAGGGTACCATGTGTTCCCCTCTGTTCTGATTAGTGGTGAGGCGAAAGGCTTCTTCCCTGCGAAAAAGGGTCTCAGGCAAGGTGACCCCTTGTCGTCGGGTCTGTTTACCCTCATCATGGATTTCCTCTCATTCATAATATCTAGACTGAACTCCGAAGGGCTGATCACAGGTTTTCATATGAATGAAGAGAATGGTAGTGGTGAACTTACACACTTATTATTCGCCAACGTCTCACACGAACAAGTGCTCAATCTATTGGCTACGATGGTTTGCTTTCATACCATTATAGGTATATGTGTCAATCGGGTGGGTTCGGGTTAGGTTCAATTGAGTTGTGGGTTAGTCGCGTTTTGGGTTCGGGTTCGGGTTCAAATGGGTTGCGTGTTAGTCGGGTTTCGGGTTCATCGGGTTCAGGTTCAATCGAGCTGTGGGCAAATCGGGTTGCAGGTTCATTAGGGTTTGGGTCATGCTGGTTGCGGGCGGATCGGGTTGCAGCTTGTTCGGGTCAGCACAACGAGTAACTTACTCCTTACTCATTACCAACTTACACAATTTATTACACTAATTTAAAATATTTTTCTCAATTATTAACCAATTTCTTTTACCTTGTATCTATAATTAATTAAAAATAAACTAGTCAAAATGTGGAATCAATTTGTATGACTTGCAAACTTGTTATGTAATTAATCGTAATTGGTAAAGTATACTAGCTAATAGTAATGATGATATCAACGTTGCAACCAAAAACACCATTAATTGTTTATTTGTTAGTTTGGTATTATTTCAGTAGTAATTGGGTTAAAGTATCTCATTATTTGGCGTGTAGTATTTGACAAAAGTAGAGTGGTAATTTATAGTTACAATGAAGTTATTTTAAGTCTTTCATAAGTCATTTATGTTTTTAGATTTATTTTCAATAACATATTTGTGATATCTCGATACAAAGTTATGAGATTGTAAGTAATAAATAACTATTTGTTTCAACACTAATCAGTATTTTCCGTCCTTAATCTCAACCATGTAAACTTTTAGGCAAAATTCATCTGTGTAGCCAAAACTTTCACATTTGTGACAATAATAGCCACTTTTGGCGAAATACCAAATATAGCAAGAATTTTGAAAGTTTCATGACAAATATAGCCATTTCCGTTACATATTTTAACGGCTTCAGTGACATTGTTAGTCAAATTAACGGAACGCTTATATGGCTGCCAAGTCATCGGACACGTCATTGACAACTCAACAACACTTGCCACATGGATGCCATGTCATATTTAATTTAAAAATAAATAAAAAATCTTAAATTATTCGCTTAGTTTCCTTTCTTGTTACACTCGACGTCGCCCATTCTTTTTCTTTTCCTTTTCCCCCAAATCTAGATCCAAAAATTATAGGGATTGGATCTGAACCCCTCTCTTCTTCTTCCCAGCAAGAAGAATCCCTTGCCCGTCCTTCTTGATTTACCCCTTTCCTGCAAAAAAAACACCAAAAACCAGAAATCCCTAAATCTCAATATGGATTTCCCTGAAAAAGAAAGAATTGAGCAAACGACTTCCTTCCTTCCTTTGCTGATCCGTCCCACCATCGCCGCGTTGGGCAACACTGATCGACTCGCGTCCCCATCACCTTCGACTCGACCGCCTTCTGAAAATATGTGGTCGTCTAGCCCGTTGATACTGCTATTCCTGTGCCACCGCCCAAATATGGGTTTGGGAATATGAGAATGAAGGGTCGCCACCTACCTCTGTTCCACCCAAACACTACTCACCCGTCCCTCGTGTCGTCGAGCCTAGCCGTCGAGTCGAGAATGAAGCGGAATGAAAGCTTCACAACGCGGTCGCCGGGACGAGGAGGAAGAAGACTACTCGTCGCTCCTCCTTTTGCCGTATGAAGGGTATGAGGCGAATTGGGAAGAAGGTGAACAGGTGATGTGCGATTCCCCCTTTCCGTCGCAGTGGCAATTAGATGAGCCTGTTGCTGCCGATTGCCCGAAGAGGATAGAACAAGCTGAAAACTCTCAGAGGGAAATAATCGTACAGATTCAGGGCAAAAAGATAAACCCTCACTTGGAAATCTGCTTACCCTTCGAACCCTTCTCCCTTTCCAAGCTGCAGCTGCACCGCCACTCTCAGCTTGCGTCGCTGGCCTTGCATCCCTAGACCCAACAAATCGTCTTTCAATTGAATGCATACGAAGAGAAGTCCAGATACGGTGATATTCATGGGTACACACCATTGCGGTTCTCTTTTTCCAAGAGACCTTTGATTCCAATTCTTCTTACTCACTTGGTATTGCTCCTTCGACGGTGGTGATTCCAGGTTGAGAGATAGGGTTTCGTAAACGAATGGAGAATGGGGAGTAGGTTGAGATTGGGGATTTTTTTGGCCAACGAGAGAATCTCTGTATTTGTTGGGGAGATGGCGTTGCTTCCTGCCGCTACTTGATTTCTTGCAGATCTGCTGAGGAAGCTCGATCTGGAGCGACGGCGGCTGTGGACGGCGATTGAACTTTCTTCCGTCCAATGATGGCTAGGGACAGTGAGCGGTTGCTGGTTGCCTCGACGATTTGGAGCTTTTGTCACTGTGGAGAGGAACGACAACTATCTGGTGGTGATGACTAATGGCGATGATGGGGTAGGAGGAGAGGTCGATGGGATTCCATCTCTGAAGCGGCGGCCGAGGGTACTGGGAAGGGAAGGGGAAAGAAGAGAGAGTAGATCAAAAATAAATAAACAATTTTTTATTTTGGTTAATTCCACCTAAGCCGCCACATCAGTTTTTCTATTAGTCCATTCAGCATGTTAGTTAACACCGTTAAAGAATTGGACGGAAGTGGCTATAAGTGGTATTTCGTCAAATTTGGCTATTATTGGCAAAAACGCAAAAGTTTTGGCTATACAAGTGTATTTTGCCAAATTTTTAATCTAGACATTGAATTTATAATTGATGAATTTTGGCTTGCGACTAAGTCTATTGTATGTACACGATAAACATTTATTTATTATAAGCATTATGAATTTGGAGGAGTAAATTGTTTTTTTAGTTAATTTATTATGAATTTATGATGAATTTGTGTCATAACTTTACCTCCATGATTAAATCTCAAATAAAATTTGGGATTTGTAAATTTTCGGGATCCACGAATTTGGATATAAAAAGGGGGTCCAAATCCATGCTCAACGAATTTGTGTCACTTAGCAAATAGACTTGTGTCAAGTCTTTGATGCTTAGCATTTGGGTGTCAAATCAATCACCCAAATACCAATACCTAAATGTTTCGTTGTGGGTTGTCTATACTGACCGGGAATTAATGAGGAAGCAGCAAATTTAATAGAGTTCCAATGCATGAAACAGGTACCCAGTATCGTTTAGATTCGGGGTGGCTATACGGTCCGGCCCAGTTAAATTGGCCCTAATTGATCAGGTCCCGGTCCGATCTTTTCGGGAATATAAGGACCAAAGATTGGATTGCATACAGTTCTATCTTGATCCGGTCGGTCTTGATTTTAGATTGAACTTGTGGGGATTTGAGTGGCCTGAGGCCTCAAAGGGTAAGGAGTTGGTTAAGTTTTGGGTGTTGAGCTATCTTATCCGGTTTTCAATCCTGTCCCAAACGGTTTTCTACCTCAAATCTAAACCCAAAGATAGGATTAGATTGTTTGCTATCTATTCTCAGTCCCGGTCTGAATTATACGGTCCCGTTTTGGGTAAAACCAAATAGTCATCCTTATTAGTTTAGAGAGCAAAGTCCATTCATATCTCAAACCCATAAAAATTAATAGGTACCCGTTACGGGATAAATAACGGGTATAACGGGTACCCAAACTATCCATACATACCTATCAAGAAAGAAAGACAGATTAAAGGCTAAAGAAAAAAAAATAAATGACTACCACCAGAGATGATCCGGCGGCAACAACATCATCTCAAAGTAGGGATTTTGATTTGTAAAGAGGAAGGGAAAATAGAGAAACAGAGACGAGAGGAAGAAGACCATGACTAGCAGACAGAGAGGGGAGAAGGATGGAGAAAGTCGAACGAGGAAGGGGAAAGCTTTTGGCCGTTTTCTTTCTTCTTCCAACAAGCACAAATGGACTTGTATTAAAGTTGGCCCAGCATAAGAAAGTAACAAACCAATACAAAAGAAGTGGGCTTATTGAGTTGGCCAAGTCCAACTGATTTTCAGAACAGATTTTATAGGGTTAATTTCATGGTTGGTCACTGAGATTACAAAAAACATTCAAGTTTGGTCACTCAAAATATTTAAATTCATTGGCGGTACTTCAGTTTACTGAAACCGTTCATGTTTGGTCACTCTCCGTCCAACTCCATTAACTTTTGCTGATGTGGCAGTCAACTCTCAAAATTGACCGTTAACTTAGTGACATGGCAATTAAAAAATAATAAATAAATAAAATCAATATAATTATCAAAAGTACAGTGCAGCCGCTGATCCCGCGGCCGTGCTCGTAGCGTCCGTCGTAAAAGGGGTGCTCGACCGCTTTGACTAAAGTGTTGCAGAGGACCGCCGATCGCAGCACCATAGCCCCCGCAAGAGCTACGCTTTCTCACTCCACCAGACCAACAGCTACAGTCGTCGCTCTAGCTAGGGACCTCCGACAAATTCCTTCCTCTCGCGGTCCGCAATAACCATACCGCGCCGAACAACCGGCTCAGCGCGCGCAGATCTGCGATGACGAACTCGCTGGTGAGGATCGGAGGCGTGGAAGGCGACCTGGTGAAAAGAGCGTTGGCGGCGTTGATCCGGCCGAGCTCTCACCAACAGAGGCCCCGCGCGGTGTTCCAGGCGAGGACGGGCCGACTCAACTCCATGTCCAAGCAAGAATCGTAATGGTTTGTGGAAAGCAAATGAACTCTCTCTTGTGACTTGGTCTCCGAATTTTTTCCGGCGACGGGGGTGTCAGATCTCGGTCAAAGCCGGTTTGACTGAAGAGGTTGGGGAAGTTCTGAGGAGAAACTGCATGGAATTTTCCTTTTTAGTCTGTTATTCCGGTCACCGGGAAATGGTGTATATAGAAGAAGCCTATATGATGAAATAGTTATAGATTCGAATTCGGTGTGCCATCAATGGAGAAAGTTTTGGGAATCATTATTATGGATCTCAGTCTTCCTGCAATGCTTAGTTAACTCCAATATGATGCTAATTCCTCGTCACCGTTCATCCGTCCGTCGCCTTGATTCCTGTGTAGTGTGTTCTGGTTGTGGTTGCTCCCTTTGCTGTTCACCCGTCCTCTGCTTTCTCACCCCTTTTGCGGCGGAGGCTACGAGCACGGCGGTGAGGACTAGCAGCTGCACCTCATTATTATAATATTTTTTGAACTTTTTTTATTTATTTTATGATAAAAATTAGTTGGACATTAAAATAGATTAAATTTTAGGACTTTGCTACGGTGACATGCATGTCACGGTGACATGCACTTTTCGGTCGACCTCATATAGGATTAGGTCGACCTGATCTGTTGTTTCAGTGTAAAAACAGTTTCATAGTGTCTACTTTGGAGATTCATATCTTACAATTGGCTAGATGGAAATTGGAGATTAAAGGCTTGTTTTGAAGCTGAAGTGTCCCTCTACACATTAAAGTACTTGGGAGCTCAATAGAAAGTCCAGAAGACCATTTTTGAACCTGACCAAAAGGCTATGCCAAAACTGGGAAACTGTCTGAAAATGGAAGTCTGGCAAAGTGTTTGTCAATCCTACTTTGGAGCTCAATTTGAGAAGCATGGATGCGAGTCAAGTCCAGGGTCCTCTACCACGTTAAATTACGTATTTTTTTATACAAAGGCAAGCGATTGGATGAAAGGTTGAATATCTTTAAGGCTTCAAACAAAAGATTCGAAGTTACTACGAAGGCTGTTTTTCTAGCAGCTTGCTTGTGCTCGAAGTCTGCCAGAAAAACAGCCTTCGTAGCAACTTCGACCCTTTTGTTTGAAGACTTACAGATATCCAATCTTTCATCCAATGCCTTAAATTTGTATAAAAACATACCTAATTTAACGTGGTAGAGGCTCCTGGACTCGACTCGCATTCATGCTTCTCGAATTGAGTTCCAAAATAGGCTTCACAAACACGTTTCAAGACTTAGCCATTTCCAGGCAGTTTCCCAGTTTTGGCATAGGCTTTTGATGAGGTTAAAAAATAGTCTTCTGGACTTCCTATCGAGCTCTCGATCACTTCAATATGTAGAGGGGCACTCCAGCTTCAAAACAAGTCATTAGTCTTCAATTTCCATCTAGCCAATTGTATGATATGAATATCCAAAGTAGACACAATGAACTGTTTTTACACTGAAACAACAGATTAGGTCCGAATCCTAAATGAAGTCGACCAGATCCTATATGAGGTCGACTGAATTCCAAATGAGGTCGACCTAATCCTACTGAGGTCGACCGGAAAGTGCAAGTCACTGTGGCATGCATGTCACCGTAGGCACACCCTAAATTTTATTTTATTTATTATTTCTTAATTGCCACGTCACTAAGTTAACGGTCAGCTTTGAGAGTTGACTGCCACATCAGCTAAAATTAACGGAGTTGAACGGAGAGTGACCAAATGTGAATGGTTTCAGTAAACCGAAGTACCGCCAATGGATTTAAATATTTGAGTGACCAAACTTGAACATTTTTTGTAATCTCAGTGCCCAATCATGCAATTAACCCGATTTTATAGAGAATTTTTTCAGAACAGATTTTATAGAGAATTTTTGCTAACGGGTATTACGGAACCTGTATTACCTAAACGGGTATTAACGAGTAATCCGTGGGTACTCGTTATAGAAAAAATCTATCTCAAATTCCATTATGTTTTAAAATCAAAAAACGAGATGCCCGTTTCCGGTTGCCCACCCCTACATGAATCCGCGTATTTTATAGATGCGTTGATGTTGATTCTTCTCGCAGTTGTCTTGCTAAAAAAACAACCACAAAAGGATGGGAAATAGAACCTACAGCAAGCGTGCCTAATGAAAACCCACAAAAAGTTAACATCAAGTCTTCAAGAAAACCAACCAGGACCTATCTTTCTTAGACCTGTTGTAAACTACAATTCCCGCCCTAATAGTAGCATATTCTATGTAATCTAGTATCTGTTCATTATACTAGCTAAATGGTCCGTGCTTTGCGGTGGGATGTTTCTTATATAGAATATTTTTTAGTTCATTAATGCTAGAAAACTAATTAGTAGGGAGCTAAATTAAGAAGATATGACGTTGGAGGATTATAAAACTAAAGCATGAATAGTTAAATTACTATTATACTAAGGTCAATACTAAGGTTTTTGACAAATTTGAAGTGAAATATTTGGAAGTACAATTGGTGCTTAAAAAGTGTTGTCGTGACACATGGCTTAGGAAGTTTCACGTTTTACTAAGAAATAGAAAGCTAAGAGAACACACAATCTAAGGATTTCAAATGGATTGGATTAAGTGGCTTGGTGAATTGATCCATGAAATCAAATGACATCCAAGTCTTGACCATTTTGTAAAATTTTGAAAAGTTTAGGTACTAAAATGTCATAATGAAAATTTTTTGGCCCCACAATGTAATTTTTCAATTATATTTTTTGTATAAAAATATAAACTTTAGGGGCATAAATGTAAAATATAAAAATTATAGGTCTAAATCATAATCGGTCATTTGGATTCATGGATCAATCCAATTGGATTTGGATTAAATGTATTAAATTTAAATGGATTGGATTATGTGGATAATTTGGTGGATGAATTGTGGATTCATGAATTTGGATCCTAATTGCCACCTCTATTTACGTTGATTGCCAAATGAACTGAACTTGATAATTGAAAGCCTACCAAAATATGTTAAAGTAAAGTATTGAGAGAGCTAGCTGTCCAGATCCTATTAACTTCTCCCATTTTGGTAAAGGAGCATATTTACCCTATGTACACAACTAAACAAAACCATGAATTTTGAAATCAATTGGAGAAGAACTACCTATATACACGATTAATCACAAAAATTTTATAAACAGAAATATAAAGTTAGTGGAGGTCAGGTGGCATCCCTGCTATGCAACGTGTATCTCATGCAAATTGGAGAAGGGAACCGATAGACAAATGGACATCAGTTAGAGTTTGGGGAAAACCAATAAAATGAATAAGAATAAAATTTCTCCAACAACCAAATAAATTGACCGCGGCAGGTTTCACAAATCAACGAAGTGATTAAAGATGGGATTACAAAATGTACTTCAATCCTCCTCCTTCTTGATCCAACAGAATCCGATGTCTGGCTTATATCTTCACTTTCTTTGTAACTGGAATGAATGCTCACTGCGGCCGCTTCGTCTTCTCTGGCATATTTCCGTGCGATTTTCTATTGTCGATTTTCCCCCATTCTATTATTCTCTGCCCCAAAAGGCGCATTATGCAGATGTTGCCTGTAGGGAGGAGGAGGAGGAAGGAAGCGAGATGGATGCTTGCTCAGAAACTTAAGGTGGACTCATCCGCATCCTACTGGATTACACGACATCTTCTACACTCTTACCATCTCCGCAGCTTGATGATAGCATCCGAAAGTGTCTATGTTGGCTTTCAGAGCTCCTTCCACTCCGCGAGCATTGAGAATTCTCAATGTAGAAGAAGAAAAATTTAGGTTGCATGCAATTGAACTACTCGGCCAAATCTGGTTACTTCTTCCATTTAATTACCTTTATTACCTTTTTTTTTTGGTTACCCCCACAAAACATAGCGGTCAATCGAATCTCCTTGGTCAACTTTAGAGAGGAAAAAGAGCCCTCCGGTTATCCTCTTCAAATTACACAATCTTATTAGTCCAAAATAGAGTGATCAAACTCTTGACGAAGGAGATTACTTAGGAGTCGTTTGGATGGGTCAGATGGGTCAATTGTCAATGTGGTATTTGTAGAGTCAAATAACACATTTATTGTTCATGTGGTATTTCAATGTTATTTCAGTGGTAATTGAAATTAAGTATCTTGTTTGGTTGAACCATGCAAATATGGTATTTGACATGTGACATTTGGTAAAAGCAGAATGGTAAAACGAGTTATTTCAAAATAACACATGGATATGAGTTATTTCAAATAGCTCATTTTGAGTTATTTGTAAATAACTCACTGTCCAAATAACTTATTTCAGTAAAACACTGCCAAACGAGTTATTGGTGTCCAAATAACTCATTGTGAGTTATTTGAACCCAAATAGCTCACAAATAATTTATACCAATACTCCATCCAAACGACCCCTTAACATATTCTACCCCTCAATTCGAATCGACGGGAAGAAGAATCGAGGATGAGAAGCATGCATTGATTTGAGAATACACACCGATCAAGAAGTCAGAAGAAAACTCACCAACCTTCGGGGAAAGTTAGGAGTAAACCCAGCCTCCAAAGAAACGACGTAGGTGAGACTCAAGAAAAAAAAAGTCTATATGGAGAACATGGCGAGTAATTTAGGGAAAGAGGTGCATAGAACTTACCGTGGACATGCCCACTCCCAACTGGACCCCTTAAGCAAAATAGGGGCTTTATATATTCTAATTGTTCTGAAAGTGGTTTCCACCAATCACAAATCATCCAATGAAGTCTTGCACCATTCCTCTGCATCTTTGCCCAAAAAGTGGAAAGTCTGAACTGTTGAATCCTACTGCGAACAGCCTCAAGAATCATTATCAATCAGTAGAGCCTGTAAAGAATCAAAGCAGAAAATTCAACATCACCATCCTTGAGATATACAGACAACGATCAAACTATTGGAATAAGTTTCACGATGACTAATAGTTAGTCAGGTTGGCTCAATTCTACGGTGATGATGCTTTCTCTTCTGAGGAGAAGATTTACAGCTATAGTAAAAATTAGGGATCTCCCATATTGTCCCGATAGCAGAGGTGCGAAGGAGTTCTTGTAAAAAATGCTATGCATTGGGTGGTTAGCACTAGCAGCTACGTATCCACATGTAGAAACTTTGATTGTTGCATTGGATTTCTGCACTCAGAGTAGAGTGGTTGAAACAGCTCGATTACGGAAAGAAATATTTTTCACTTGAATGTGAAGAAGCTGGTAGGTTGCCTCGCTATAACTGTCAATTAGCTTTGTATTCTCTATTTAAGGTAGTTGATGGATAGAGAAAGAAGGAGAGTATAATCAGAAAAGTGCACATCACATTATACTACCAACTTACTCGAGTTGTCATTGTCCGAGGAAGATAGTAGGAAATCGGGATCATTTGGGTCATCCACACCAGCTCCCTCTGCAGAGAAAAACAAGAAAGTTTAACATCCATCCTCTAAAATCTTAAACAACCAAGTTAACTAAAACCAATAAGCTTACCTTAAGAATCCTCCTCTAAATCATCGTCTAGAAACTCTATTGAATTCTCTTGGCCTGCAAGGAAAACCAGAACATTTAACATCCAACCTACAAAGTTGTAAACAAGCAAGTAAAATACACGACTAAACTTACTTGCAGATGTACTAGGGCCAGTAGGTGAAGGTGGTGCCACGTGAAGGCCATCAGCATAATTACAAGCTTGGAATAACAGGAGAAATCCATCCTTGCTACTTCCTTGGTGTCCTGGGTTTTGCCCTCATGTTGCGCCTGGGAGAAGGATCCTAGCTCAAATGTTAATGGAGGCAACTTCTGCTTCATAGAAGGAAGAGCCACCTCCTTGCCTTAATCAGAAACGGCAGGTGGGTCAGCTGACACAATGTCCTCAGCAATAACGATGCCTGGTAGAGATGAAGATTTGTTGCGAACCAGATGGTTACTTTCAAACTTCGCATGTGCATATGCCAAATCGGTGACAAGTTTTCCTTTCATTTCTTCCGTGTGATCTTCATCCAAGATCCACCTTCTCAGACGTTTAATAACATCCTTCATACCCATCAAGTCTTCATCAAACTTGTATTGTTTATCAAACCTGTTAAAGAACTTCGACCCTTTCAAATAAAACCAGTAACCATAGTGGTGTGAGTAGTCCCCAACAGCACTTTCTTGTCAGCAGGTGCTTCTGTGTATGTTCTAAACATAGCACGATTGTTACATACATGCTTCGATGCACCTGTATCCAGCCACCATCCTTCTGAGTCACCGGTGAGGTTAACTTCAGCGATCATATTCGTGATCATGGCTATCAAATCCTCTTCTGTCAAGTTAACCTTGGCCGCAGCGACATGGTTTTGCTTTTTCTGGCACTTTTTTGCCATATGACCCGGTTTTCCGCAGTTATAGCAGATAAACGGTGGGTCATTCTTAGAAGTTTGGGCCATGACCCTTTGGTTACCTCGAGAGGCACCATTCTGGTGGGGGCGGACCTGCTGGTTCTTACTCTTAAACCCTTTCTGGTTAGGTTTAAGAGCTCTATGGGTGGGTTGTTTAGCAGTGGCGACCATCACCTCTTCTTTCATATCCTGCTTGCAGGACTCTTCCTCAATCCTTAGGCGAGTAATCAAGCTTTCCAGTGAAATTTTTTTGGTTTTATGCCTAAGCAAATTCTTAAAATCTTTCCACGAAGGGGGCAGCTTATCAATAATGCAAACAGCTTGAAATTGATCGTCTAGAGGCATACCTTAAGAGACGATCTCATGAGCTATTTTCTGAAGTTTGTGGGACTGAACTTTGACAGACTTGTCATCCACCATCTGGTAGCGCAGGTAGCGGTTGACAACATACTTCTTAGCTCCAGCATCCTCCTTGTCGTACTTCTTTTGGAGCGCATCCCAGATCATCATCACGGTGTTCTTGTTGTCCGTATAGTAGTCGTAGAGATCGTCTGCAAGGCCGTTGAGGATGTAGTTCTTGCACAGGAAGTCATGCTTCATTTCCTTAGCAGAAGCAGCCCTCTCCTCATCGGTCGCTTCTTCCGGCAGCTCGACGGGCATGCTGGTGAGGCAGTGTGCAAACTTCTTAGTCGTCAGGTAGAACTCCATCTTTTGTCTCCAGCGACGGAAGTTGACTCCAACAAAGCGGAAGGGTCGATTGATATCGACATCACCAGATCCTTCCATGTTGTTCTGTTCAGTCGACATAGCAGCAGCAGCCGAACGTCTTAAAATTGTTAGGAACGGAACAAAAACAAGAACGAGGTTACCGAATCTCGAGCTGAGTCGCGGACTAGGTCGCTCTCTTTAAGAAGTTCGCGGCACTGCCTTCGATGCGCACGACAGACGATCACCCGGTCGTCTCCAGGATAAAACAGCTCCTCTCAAAACTCGCGGTTTTGTGCAAAAATCGGAGCATCTGCCAAATCGGCGACAACTTTCCCTTTCATTTTTCAGTGCGATCTTCATCCAAGATCCACCTTCTCAGACGTTTAATAACATCCTTCATACCCGACAAGTCTTCATCAAACTTGTATTGTTTATCAGACCTGTTAAAGAACTTGGACCCTTTCAAATGAAAACCTAACAAAATTCAGCGATCCTAGGACACAACTGTAGAGTGACAACAAATTTTCTTTGTCTTAAGAGGAAGAATCGATTCTCAGATTAAGAATCAACACGAAATTTTCTTGGAAAGAACTGAAGCGCCATTCACAAACGCCCAACTAGAGATTTCATGACTAGGACCGAGTGAACTTAGGGTTCCTTCAACGTATCAAACGAACAAAAAAAAAATAGTGAAATTCATTTGCTGAATCGTAAACAGATCATCTAGGAGAAAGCAAAGATTAATTCTGTAAATAACATAGAGTGTTAGGAAAGTATAGTATTGGTAGCAGAGATTGTTGCGATAATGTGGTCGCAAGAGAGCAACAACAAGAACGAGGTTACCGAATCTGGAGCTGAGTTGCGGACTAGGTCGCTCTCTTTAAGACGTTCGTGGAACTGCCTTCGATGCGCACGGAAGACTATCTACCATTCGTCTCCATGATAAAACAGCTCCTCTCAATACTCGCGTTTTTGTGCGAAAACCGGAGCATCTGCCAAATTGGCGACAAGTTTCCCTTTCATTTCTTCCGTGCGATCTTCATCCAAGATCCACCTTCTCAGACGTTTAATAACATCCTTCATACCCGACAAGTCTTCATCAAACTTGTATTGTTTATCAAACCTGTTAAAGAACTTGGACCCTTTCAAATGAAAACCTAACAAAATTCATCGATCCTAAGACACAGACGTAGAGTGACAACAAATTTTCTTGGCCTTAAGAGGAAGAATTGATTCTCAGATTAGGAATCAACACGAAATTTTCTGGGAAAGAACTGAAGCGCCGTTCACAAACTCCCAACTAGAGATTTCAAGACTAGGACAGAGTGAACTTAGGGTTCCTTAAACGTATCAGACTAACAAACCAAAATAGTGAAATTCATTTGCTGAATCGTAAACAGATCATCTAGGAGAAAGCCAAGATTACTTCTCTAAATAACATAGAGTGTTAGGAAAGTATAGAATTGGTAGCAGAGATACGAAGGAACTCACATGGCGGCATACGGCTGAGATTATTGTTCCGATAATGGAGGTCGCAAGATAGCAACAACAAGAACGAGGTTACAGAATCTGGAGCTCAGTCGCGGACTAGGTGGCACTCTTTAAGACGTTCGCGGCACTGCCTTCGATGCGTACAGCAGACTATCAACCGGTCGTCTCAATGATAAAACAACTCCTCTCAATACTCGCGGTTTTGTGCGAAAACCGGAGAATCTGCCAAATCGGCGACAAGTTTCCCTTTCATTTCTTTCGTGCTATCTTCATCCAAGATCCACCTTCTCAGACGTTTACTAAAAATCTTCATACCCGACAAGTCTTCATCAAACTTGTATTGTTTATCAAACCTGTTAAAGAACTAGGACACAGACGTAGAGTGACAACAAATTTTCTTGGCCTTAAAAGGAAGAATCGATTCTCATATTAGGAATCAACACGAAATTTTCTTGGAAAGAACTGAAGCGCCATTCACAAACGCCCAACTAGAGATTTCAAGACTAGAAAACAGTGAACTAAGGGTTCCTTCAATGTATGAGACTAACAAACCAAAATAGTGAAATTAATTTGCTGAATCGTGAAAAGATCGTCTAGGAGAAAGCCAAGATTACTTCTCTAAATAACATAGAGTGTTAGGAAAGTATAGTATTGGTAGCAGAGATACGAAGGAACTCACATGGCGGCATACGGCTGAGATTATTGTTCCGATAATGGAGGTTGCAAGATAGCAACAACAAGAACGAGGTTACCGAATCTAGAGCTCAGTCGCGGACTAGGTCGCACTCTTTAAGACGTTCGCCGCAATGCCTTCGACGCGCACGTCACACTATCAACCGGTCGTCTCCAGGATAAAATAACTCCTCTCAATACTCGCGGTTTTGTGCGAAAATCGGAGCATCTGCCAAATTGGCGACAAGTTTCTCTTTCATTTCTTCCGTGTGATCTTCATCCAAGATCCACCTTCTCATACGTTTAATAATATCCTTCATACCCGACAAGTCTTCATCAAACTTGTATTGTTTATCAGACCTGTTAAAGAACTTGGACCATTTCAAATGAAAACCTAACAAAATTCAGCGATCCTAGGACACAGCCGTAGAGTGACAACAAATTTTCTTTGTCTTAAGAGGAAGAATCGATTCTTAGATTAGGAATCAACACGAAATTTTCTTGGAAAGAACTGAAGCGCCATTCACAAACGCCCAACTAGAGATTTCATAAATACGACAGAGTGAACTTAGGGTTCCTTCAACGTATCAAACGAACAAACCAAAATAGTGAAATTCATTTGCTGAGTCGTAAGCAGATCATCTAGGAGAAAGCCAAGATTAATTCTGTAAGTAACATAGAGTGTTAGGAAAGTATAGTATTGATAGCAGAGATACGAAGGAACTCACATGCCGGCAGACGGCTGAGATTATTGTTAGGATAATGGAGGTCGCAAGAGAGCAACAAGAAGAACGAGGTTACCGACTCTGGAGCTGAGTCGGGGACTAGGTCGCAGAGTTTAAGACGTTCGTGACACTTCTTTCGATGCGCACGGCAGACTATCAACCGGTCGTCTCCAGGATAAAACAGTTCCTCTCAATACTCGCGGTTTTGTGCGAAAACCGGAGGATCTGCTAAATCGGCGACAAGTTTCCCTTTCATTTCTTCCATGCGATCTTCATCCAAGATCCACCTTCTCAGACGTTTAATAACATCCTTCATACCCGACAAGTCTTCATCAAACTTGTATTGTTTATCAAACCTGTTAAAGAACTTGGACCCTTTTAAATGAAAACATAACAAAATTCAGCGATCCTAGGACACAGAAGTAGAGTGACAACAAATTTTCTGTGCCTTAAGAGGAAGAATCGATTCTCAGATTATGAATCAACACGAAATTTACTTGGAAAGAACTGAAGCGCTATTTACAAACGCCCAACTAGAGATTTCAAGACTAGGAAACAGTGAACTTAGGGCTCGTTCAATGTATGAGACTAACAAACCAAAATAGTGAAATTAATTTGCTGAATCGTGAAAAGATCGTCTGGGAGAAAGCCAAGATTACTTCTCTAAATAACATAGAGTGTTACGAAAGTATAGTATTGGTAGCAGAGATACGAAGGAACTCACATGGCGGCATACGGCTGAGATTATTGTTCCGATAATGGAAGTCGCAAGATAGCAACAACAAGAACGAGGTTACCGAATCTGGAGCTCAGTCGCAGACTAGGTCGCACTCTTTAAGACGTTCGCGGCACTGCCTTCGATGCGTACTGCAGACTATCAACCGGTCGTCTCTAGGATATAACAACTCCTCTCAATACTCGCGGTTTTGTGCGAAAACCGGAGCATCTGCCAAATCGGCGACAAGTTTCCCTTTCACTTCTTCCGTGCTATCTTCATCCAAGATCCACCTTCTCAGACGTTTAATAACATCCTTCATACCCGACAAGTCTTCATCAAACTTGTATTGTTTATCAAACCTGTTAAAGAACTTGGACCCTTTCAAATGAAAACCTAACAGAATTTAGCGATCCTAGGACACAGACGTAGAGTGAAAACAAATTTTCTTGGCCTTAAAAGGAAGAATCGATTCTCATATTAGGAATCAACACGAAATTTTCTTGGAAAGAACTGAAGCGCCATTCACAAAAGCCCAGCTAGAGATTTCAAGACTAGGAAACAGTGAACTTAGGGCTCGTTCAATGTATGAGACTAACAAACCAAAATAGTGAAATTAATTTGCTGAATCGTGAAAAGATCGTCTGGGAGAAAGCCAAGATTACTTCTCTAAATAACATAGAGTGTTACGAAAGTATAGTATTGGTAGCAGAGATACGAAGGAACTCACATGGCGGCATACGGCTGAGATTATTGTTCCGATAATGGAAGTCGCAAGATAGCAACAACAAGAACGAGGTTACCGAATCTGGAGCTCAGTCGCGGACTAGGTCGCACTCTTTAAGACGTTCGCGACACTGCCTTCGATGCCAACGGCAGACTATCACCCGGTCGTCTCCAGGATAAAACAACTCCTCTCAATACTCGCGGTTTTGTGCGAATACCGGAGCATCTACCAAATCGGCGACAAGTTTCCCTTCATTTCTTCCGTGCTATCTTCATCCAAGATCCACCTTCTCAGACGTTTACTAACAATCTTCATACGCGACAAGTCTTCATCAAACTTGTATTGTTTATCAAACCTGTTAAAGAACTTGGACCCTTTCAAATGAACACCTAACAGAATTCAGCGATCCTAGGACACAGACGTAGAGTGACAACAAATTTTCTTGGCCTTAAAAGGAAGAATCGATTCTCATATTAGGAATCAACACAAAATTTTCTTGGAAAGAACTGAAGCGCAATTCACAAACGCCCAACTAGAGATTTCATAAATACGACAGAGTGAACTTAGGGTTCCTTCAACGTATTAAAATAACAAACCAAAATAGTGAAATTCATTTGCTGAGTCGTAAACAGATCATCTAGGAGAAAGCCAAGATTAATTCTGTAAATAACATATAGTGTTAGGAAAGTATAGTATTGATAGTAGAGATACGAAGGAACTCACATACCGGCAGACGGCTGAGATTATTGTTGCGATAATGGAGGTCGCA